AGGCATTCTGCTACTTATTGCAATTTTGGTTTGAACAACTACTTAAAGCCTAAGCAATAAGTAGTGGCGTTCCCATCATGTTTCTGCCCTGGTCCTCCCATGCATGGAGATTCGTGCCCGTGGCTCTCGCACTCGGCCTTTGGATTGCACAAGACACTGGCTTCAAGAGATACTGATACTTAATGGTTGTGAGGCAAGCCCTTGTCACGGAAGGTAGGCCCGACCGATAGGCTAGGCCAGAGATGAATGAAGAGGCTAATAGATATGGATCAATCACTGCCAAGGTAAACAGCACAGTAGCCTTGGTGCAAAACAAAGACTCCTGCAGAACTAGCTAGAAGCCCCTTGATAGTTTCAGTTTCTCACGATGATGTTTCCACTGGGTCGCGCAGCACAGCGCACCGACAAGAGACCTTTGCTTGCCGAACTCCCTGATTATGCCGTGGCTCACAACTTTGGCTTGGAGCAGCAATCCGCTGGGTCGCGTGACGACCACCAAGCATTGGACGCTGGCATCCGCGCTAATGGGCTCATGATCCGGGAGACGATCGCGGATGGTGATTGCGGGTTGCACGCCATTCTTCTTAACCTTCAGCGGTTACGGATTCAGACGGAGCCTGCAGCTGGCATCTTGTCCCTTCTTGAAAAGAAGGGTTTGGACTCTGCGTGCCAGGCACTACGCCTCAACCTAGTTATCTGGCTGAGGGATCATCAGGCGGAGGAGCTGATGCCGGATACCAGTCTTTCTGACTGGGTGCAGATGGACGGCTACAGCAGTTTCAGTGCTTATATGAAGCATATGAAAGTGGCCAAAACTTGGATTGATAGTCCGATGCTTTATGCAGCATCTGCTGTGTTTCTGCTTCAATTCGTCATCTTCCTGGACGACGGTCGGGGTCATTTGCTGGCCGCCCAGGTGGTTCAGCAGCAAGAATCGGGCCATGTAGCATTGATGACTAACATCGGGAGATGTCACTTTCAGGCATTGCAGCCGCTTCCTCCCGAGAATTTCTCTCTATGTTCAAGCACTGCAGACGATTTACGGCTGTACGTGCCGGAGACACAAGATGATGCTGAGTCTGCTGAGGACTCTGCATCGGATGCGACGGATGGAGAAGCCACCCCTGTGCCTGAACAGAACAGTCATGCTGAAAAGACAATTCGAATGTGCCAGGCACTTATAAACTGGGACCCTTTTGCTTCTACCTGTGATCCCCAGCTTCCTGACCTTCTGAAGTCGCTGGAGAATACCGATGAGCCATCGGAAGCATTGTCGCAAACATTGCAATGGAGGGCCGCAGTCAAACTTCTGCAGCATGAGGAGTTCGACAGAGCAGAAGTTGATCGATCCTTCCATCTGGAACTGGCAAGGATCAATGTCCTTAAAAGGACAACCCCGGCTGGACAAAAGATGTTATACGTGAAATCCCGGACTTTGGGGCCCAAGCTGACACTGCCAGCCATCAAGAAAAGCCTGGTGCCTCCTTGCCACAAGAACAACACATGCCATACCTGTCTAGACCCCTTCCGGAGTTGCCCGAAACTGGTCTTGCGTTGGCGAAAGATGTGGTACAGCCTGCCGAAAGCGGACAGACAGGAACGTCTCGAGCGGTTTTTTGCAACAGCGAAGCAGCAGCAGGAAGCGGAAGGACAAGATGAATTCCGAATGCCTTTCAGTGTTTTCGGACAGAGCGTCTGCAGGGATGCGTTCATACGCATCACAGGTATCCATGCACACACGCTTCAGAGAGCTCGATCGGCTGCTGTGGCTGGTGTTTCGCACCAGTCCGAGATCGCTGCGTGGCGATCGCGCAGGGCACCGGCCTACCTCGATTGCAGAGCCTGGCTTCTCGATTATGCCCGTATCCACGCTGACACCAGTCCACTGAACTCCAATCTTTGGTTGCCCTATGCCCGCAAGCACTTCTTCTACTGGACATACGTCAGCGACTGCACCTTGGCATTCATGGGATAAGGCAATAGCACGATTAATGTGGCAGTTGCACCTGTGCATGCAGAGCCCGTCATCATGATATTGTGTATGGTCCGGGATGGAATAGAACATGTTCTCTGATCTTAGCTTCAAAGTTTCGTGCGACCTTGCCATGCGTCGGTCTAGGCTTTTTGGTGTCATTGCTTCTTTTTCGGCTTTGCTAGTTGTTTGCGCGAGATTCACCCTAGCACAGGATAGAAGAGAAATCGTACCGAAACCAGCACCGCAATAGTCAGTCGTAGCGGCCCCGACCGCCACCGCAACAACAACCACCAGAAAACGACGCACAGCATCTCAGGCAGACACCAGCAGAAACCATTGGAGGAAGTGGCGGGCTTGAAGTACTTCCTCAAGGTTTGGAGAACGGAGCTCCCGTGGATAAAGCGCCGACCTACAGCTGGCCCCTTCACCCACTGCGGTCTGTGCGATTATCTGAAGTGGACGATGGCCCGCTGCTCGGACAGAGGCGGCCGCGAGAAGCTGGCGGGCATACTTGGGGAGCACTTCCAGTTTCAGGCTGCGCAGAGGGTCGCGATGTCGCAGATCTTCAAGGAGAGTGAGGCGCGCCCTGATGAACTGATTGCAGTGGCATGGGACAAGATGGACCAGGCGAAGACCATCGTGCCACGTGTTGTGTCATTGGCCAACACACAGTTCATGAAAGGCGGTGCTCGCCTGGTGGTTTCCTTGATTGGCGTTCTCGCACCCTGTCTCTTCAAGCAACCCCTGCTGTACACCATTCTGGAAGATCAGGTGCACGGCGGCGACATGGTGGCTAGTTTGATGCTAGATGTTCTCGAGGAAGCTGTGGGCATCAAGGGGCAGCTGCCAACGAGGTTCTTCATTCAAGCCGACAACACTGTCAAGGAGACGAAGAACACGATTGCATTGTTTGCAGCGGCGTGGCTACTGATACAGCTCAAAGGCACGAGGCTGACCTGCATTGAATTTGGCTACTTAGTTGTGGGTCACACCCACGACTTGATAGATGCCATGTTCGCATACATCTCGAAGGCTCTGGCTGGACGCGACTTCTACAGCGTTGATGAGATGATAGGCATTCTGCAAAACAGCATGAAGAATCCGCCTTTCTGGAAACACTTGCGCGACATTTACAGCTTCAAAGCTGCTCAGCCTCACAGCCTTAGCAGCAAGAGGGTGAAGGGCATCTCGCAGCCCAATAATGTGCGCATCTTTTGGGGTCCTGATGGCAATCTGCTTGTCCAGTCCAAACATTGGCTGACTTCCGAATCTTGGGGCGAAGCGTTGGTCCTGTTGGATCAGACAGAGGTCACTCGAGTGGGCCACCTGTATCCCGACATTGTGGAGCCTGCATGGGACGAATCTTTCTTGAGAACTTCAGAAGGTTTCTTTCAGAAGTTGGAAGACTTGTTTCTTGGCGTGAGATCGGAAAAGTTGTCGGTTGGTATTGTTAGCTTTTGTGCTTGCATTCAATCTTTTGCAGCAGGGCCAGGTTTGTTCAGTATCACTGTTTGGCCCTCCCTCCGAAAGCCAAGGTTGTCTGCAGCTTCGTTTTCGACGGATGGTATCCAGAAGTGCCGAGCCTTGTTGAGACACGAGAACCCGTCCTTCATGCCGTCAGGGCGAACACTTGGAGACCGCGTGATCGCATTGCGAAGACGCATAGACTCCAATCCGGCACGGCCAGCAGCGAGTGGCTTCTCAGAAGGCCTTCGAAAAGCAATGGCAGCTGCGTTTCCTGGATCTTCAGCAAGTGTCCGCGACGGGAAGACTGGACTACTCACAATTGCCGGGGCAGAGAGCTCGGACCAGATGGGTTTTTGCCAAGACGAGCTGGAAACAGGCATGATCGTGCTCTTCTCATGCACGAGGCACGCAGACTTGCCGTGTCGCGTCGGCAAAGTGCTCCGAATTCTGCGCGAGTTCGGTTCTGACCCCACGGCTGTTGTGGAGACTTGGCATCCTGTAGTTAATCCAAGCAAATATGATCGCGTCCATGTTTTTGCTGCATGGGCCCCAGCTGGCCGTGATGGAGCTGCCGAGGGCTCGAAACGCAAACGAAGCAGGCCAGAGCTACCCTTGCGCACAATTCCCCTGGGAGATGTTCTTGTTTGGCCGCTGGATTTGGAAAAGAAGGAAGATCAGGAGCAATCGGACCAGAGCGGCAAGGTGCCCTTGCCGGCTTTTCATTTCATGCGCGAGGTGCGCATGGTAGATGTGAGCCCAAAGCGCTTCAGTTTCAGCAAGAGAGGGCAGGCCTTCTACCGAGAGGTCGTGAAGCGCACTGCGGAGTACATGCGTGCCGGGGAATAAATTGCTTGATGCAATGTCAGATTTGGTTTTATCAGTGCGTGCAGATGAAACTACATAACAGTAATGATCTGATCTCCCCTTTGCTCCTTGCTTCAGGGTTCCCGGCCTGGACAATCGTGTATAGGAGCAGCCCAAGAGACCTGCCGCTGAGCAAGTGGTGTTTCTTCAGTTTCGCAACGGCTGCTTGTGGTGAGGTTGCCTTTCTTGTTCCTGTGGGTTTATGGGGTCAGAGATTTGAGGTTAGCCACTTGATCAGCGGTTCCTGTGGGTTTATGGGGTCAGAGGTTATTCATACTTTGAGGTTAGCCACATGATCAGCGGCATAATCATGTCTTCAGGTAGACTGCCCCCGTGAGTCTCGCAAAGACCGTTGGCCAAAGAAATTCGGGCCCCAAACCCTAACCTCGAAGTCTGACCAGGGCCCCTATTTGTGGAACAAATCGCCGTTTGACTTCTGGTTCGTGATGAGTTCAAGCCTGGAAGCATGCTGCCCGATGCTCAGGCACTGGCGCAGACATCATCTTGCAGGCCTGGTCAGGAGGGCACTGTTCGTCCGAATCACCAGTCTTATAGAAGAATGTGACAGAGGCTCTCAGCTGCTGACGGCTTTTTCGGTTTCACGGTATGTGCGCGTGCATTAGCGGCGTTAGCTGTATCACTGGCTTCCGGTCTCTGAGAGAGCTAAGTCCGTCGTGAAGAAGCACATGTTCATTTAGACATTCAACACGGCGTTTGCCCACGTCGAGGCTTGGGAGTGGCTCACGACCTTACCCTTGGCAGTTGAGATACCTTTCTGGAATAGCTTCTCGCAGATCTTCGCCAGGTCACCTTTCTTGATCGCCTTGTCTTTCAAGACACTGCGGATGACTCCTTTAATGACTTTGCCTTCTTTGCCTTCCAATCGATTCGGCTTGCCACCCAGCTTGGGAGAGCCCTGCATAGTGACCTTCATGGACTTCTGCAGATTGATGTCTCGTCCCTTCTTCAAGCGAGTGACAGTCTCACTTCTGTGAAACTCCGAAATCGATCCAATAAGCTGCCGGACCAGTGTTGTGTGAGGAGAGTCGTCTTCTAAGAAATGATCAGGGTTGGATGCAGAGATAGCAGAGAAACCCATGTCTCGCAGCAGGTTCAGTGCCAATTCCTGCACCACCACACACCGTGCCAGTCTAGAGGCATCTTCGAAAATAATTTTGTTGATGTTATGCTCCTTGGCATAATCCAACATCTTTACGAACCCCGGCCTTTTCTGCACAGGCGTCGTGCCCGAGACGCCGATATCCTCGAAAAGGCCAGCTCGATTCAGTCGAAGTGCGCTCCTTTTCGTGTACGCTCTGATGACCGATTCCTGCCTCTGTAGACTAGTTTTCCCGTCCCCTGAGTTCGCCCTGGATGACACGCGCAAGTACGCGACAGCTTTCATGGCTTCACAACAGCCCCAGCTTCCTAAATATTAGTCCATGCTAATGTATTCAAGGCAATCGCTTGCTTGAAGCACGCTAATTTCCTGTAACAAGTGAAGTCTCCTGAAGACCGCACCACTCAAAATTAATGAGGCGCAGATAAACTCTTTAGGAAGATGTCAAGGCTGAGCCAGATTCGCAGAATGCTGGGATTGTAGTGCTCACACTATGAACGCGATACCCTCAGCCGCAACCTAAATTACAATGTCCAAAGCCTTTGCGAACATGTACATGAATTGACTGCAGGAGCACAGCCGTGGTGGGAACTCAGGGCGTAAAATACTTTAGTAGGTGTGATCGGGACGTATGAATGCCACGGTCAGCCCCATCACACCCCACACCCCCAAGCACGGGAACGGAAACACGAATGGTGACCATGATGATGCGTGCGTAGACTGCACGTGCGTGCTTGACACTGTGCAAGGCTACCATGCACCACAGCCTGCGCCAGAGGCAGGGACACCTCACCGCTTCAGAGAGCCCGATCGGCTGCTGTGGCTGGTGTTTCGCACCAGTCCGAGATCGCTGCGTGGCGATCGCGCAGGGCATCGATTGCAGAGCCTGGCTTGTCGATTATGCCCGTATCCACGCTGACACCAGTCCACTGAACTCCAATCTTTAGGCCCGCAAGCACTTCTTCTACTGGAAATACGTCAGCGACTGCACCTTGGCATTCATGGGATAAGGCAATAGCACGATTAATCTGGCAGTTGCACCTGTGCATGCAGAGCCCGTCATCATGATATTGTGTATGGTCCGGGATGGAATAGAACATGTTCTCTGATCTTAGCTTCAAAGTTTCGTGCGACCTTGCCATGCGTCGGTCTAGGCTTTTGGCTTTTGGTGTCGTTGCTACTTTTTCTGTTGGTTTTCCACTCTTTCTAAATATCCATTGTCGTCCATCTTGTTTTTGCTGCTCCTCGTGCACTTCTTTTAGGATGTCCTTAAGGGGGGGTGGTCCAAGGGGGGTAGGTAACCTAGTAATCCCCATTATTCCCCAATACTCCCTAAGCTTCCCTAAGGTTCCCCAAAGCTCCCTAGTACCCTCCCCCCTTGAACCACCCCCCCTTAAGGATCCTATAATTCTTGTTGTCGCAGTCGTTGAAGCTGTCTTTAAGCCGTATAGTCTATAGTTAAAAACCCCAGTCCTTAAACTAATAGTAGCTGCAACATGAACCCATCAGGGTGTAGGAATAAGGGTTTGAAATTTGCGCTGTAAAAGTACCACCTAGACTGACAGGGCATGGACTCCCACTGGTAGCGTCGGACAGAAAGCGCGGACGTCCGAATGGTTGCGTCGGACAGAAAGCGCGGAAAGCGCGGACGTCCGAATGGTTGCGTCGGACACAAAGCGCGGACGTCCGAATGGTTGCGTCGGACACAAAGCGCGGACGTCCGAATGGTTGCGTCGGACACAAAGCGCGGACGTCCGAATGGTTGCGTCGGACACAAAGCGCGGACGTCCGAATGGTTGCGTCGGACACAAAGCGCGGACGTCGAGCGTCGCACGTGGGACGCCCCAATGGTTTGGGACCTTCCAGGGAACTGGACCCCGCAAGCTGCAGGGTCCAACTCCCTGGCGTCCCGTGCGCAACGCCGGGGAGTTAAAGTCCGACCGGAGTTCATCTCCCTGGAAGCGGGCTGGTCCTTCCCGGGAGATGATCTCCGGTCGGACTTCATCTCCCTGGCGTTGCACGCGCGACGCCCGGGAGTCCGACCCCGCAGCTTGCAGGGTCCGGTTCCCTGGAAGGTCCCTCAGACCTTCCAGGGAACCAAGATTGCAAATGGACCTGCCCACCGCCCACCTCATCATCCTGTGTCGGTCGCAGCGTGTGCATTCCCAAGGGTATAGCGTCGGACACAAAGCGCGGACGTCCGAATGGTCGCATCGGACTCAAAGCGCGGACGTCGGAATGGTCACGTCGGACACAAAGCGCGGACGTCGGAATGGTCACGTCGGACACAAAGCGCGGACGTCGGAATGGTCACGTCGGACACAAAGCGCGGACGTCGGAATGGTCGCGTCGGACACAAAGCGCGGACGTCGGAATGGTCGCGTCGGACACAAAGCGCGGACGTCGGAATGGTCGCGTCGGACACAAAGCGCGGACGTCCGAATGGTCGCGTCGGACACAATGCGCGGACGTCGGAATGGTCGCGTCGGACACCAAGCGCGGACGTCCGAATGGTCGCGTCGGACAGAAAGCGCGGAAAAGCGCGGACGCCCCAGTGTAATTTCTCGCACCGTCCTCCAGCATCGATGCTAGTACAATGGTCCCGGTCCCCATGCCAATCTTGCCAGCCAACACCGACTGACGTACCTCACTAGCTACCTGGACAACCTTTTGGCGTTTCTTAAACAACAAGTCGATTATTTTTCAGGCAAAGAAACAACAGACAAGCAGCAATAAACAAAAGAAACAACAAGTTGTAACTTTACATCAAGGTCCATGCTTTGGGCTTAATTAATAAGTATATAAATAACAGTCGCACTGCTTCGAATCTGGTTTCGGTGTTTATAGGGTACATGGGCTTCTGCAAACAATTGCCTACGGCTCTCGGTGCTTAGGGCTACGGGGCTTCTGCAGACAATACGGCACGGTGCAGAGCTGCGGGGGGCTTCTGCACATACAATTGCCTACGGCTCTCGGTGCTTATAGGGCTACCGGGGCTTCTGCGCAAACAATTAACTACGGCTCTCGGTGATTAGGGCTATACGGGGGGCTTCTGCATACACTTGCCTACGGCTCTCGGTGCTTAGGGCTATGGGGGGCTTTTGCACAAAGAATTGCCTTCGGCTTCGATGGCTCTCGGGCTTCGGGTGCTTCTGCAAATGGACAACCAACCAAGCACAACGACCGACCGACCAAGCGAACAAGCACAGCAAGCCTTCAAGCACAACCAACCAAGCACAACGACCGACGGACCAAGCGAACAAGCACGGCAAGCCTTCAAGCACAGCATGCTTTCAAGCACAACCAACCAAGCACAACGACCGACCGACCAAGCGAACAAGCACAGCAAGCCTTCAGGCACAACCAATCAAGCACAACGGTCGACCGACCGACCAAGCAAACAAGCACAGCAAGCCTTAAGCACAACCCAAGGCGCCCAATCGACCAAGCGAACAAGCACAGCAAGCGCAATCAACCAAGCACAATCGACCGACCGACCAAGCGAACAAGCACAGCAAGCCAGCACAACCGACCGACCGACCGACCGAAAAACAAGCCAACCGACCAAGCAACGAGTTAAGCGTGCGTGTGTCAGACATGGTGCACAAGCCAACCTTTTTCACTCTGCAGACGGCGCCACATCATGGATCTCTTCAAGATATATCGAGCACTCCACGCCATCAACATAGTCCGCGGATGGGAAGCGTGGGCACAAGATCTCATGAATTTCATGAAATCTTCTTCTGCAAAGTTTGCGAAGAACATGGGGTTGATAGCATTGCGTTCAATGTCAGATATCAGGTGACACAAGTAATGGTGTTTCGGCCTCACTTTGTACAGAGTTTGCTTGCGAAGCAAGCATTGCCGAGCCATCCTTTGCCAGAGTTCCAGGTGCAATTGCAGCAAAGCAGTGCCTTGAGAGGCTTCATGTCGAGCGAGAAACGGTCGTTGGCCTTTGCCGAAGAGCGACAAAGCGGAATCCAAGGACCAGAGCATAGCGGCACGAACTTGATTCCAGTGAATAAAGTCAGCATCTGCAGTCCACGGCACGGCCCGCTCCTCATTGGGTAGGATATATATATATATATATATATATATATATATATATCTATCTTTCACCATGCCATTTAGGAAAACAAGCGATATGGCTGATGCAGTTCAAGTACTACGTCAATGGCAAAGTGTGTCACAAACGCCAGCAAGTTCCTCGTTCGAGATGCTTTGATGCGTGACGACAGCTCAGGGTAGTTGGCGCTGTCCGATTTGCCCAGCGATGCCACCGTCAGCGGCTTGATGTGGACGTCCAGGCGACGGTCACGAGCCCACAGCTTGGCGCGTGCAGTAAAAGTAAACAGGACATTGTCGAACGGTGTGTCAGAAGCCATGCCCAGGAACTCATGCATCTGACCTGGACGATTCGAAAGCACAAATGATAGCAACTTCTAAACCCCATGACATGCAGCAAACAAACCCACGTCACAGCTTACCATGCTCCGAGATTCGGCTTTCCAACGTTTCCCAGAGGACACTGCCAATGAGGTCCCGCAAGATGCCCAGATGGGCAATGTGCATTACTCGGCTGCAGAGGCACCACATTAGTTGTTAAAGCAACTCTTTCAATCTCAGTCCTACACCGTTTACCAGCCAATCATACTGCAAGTGGGAAGCTGTCGAAAGCGCGTCTGTGTTTGTGAAAGCCAGGGATCACCTTCCATGGAGTGTGCTCCTCTGTGGTACATGCTTGCCTCGGTTCCAGGGTTCGTCGCCAGTTGGCAGCCATCGTAAAGTCAGCGTAGGTGAGGCCACGAAGTCTTTTCTGGGCAAGGCAAAGGTCGCAACAGTTGTTGGTCAAATAATTCCTTCTCAACCGGTGGCTGAGCATGTGGGCTTCCTGGTCACCCTTCCACCACGAGAAGATGGCACGTTTGTCGCCCATGATCGGGGTTTTTGCCCTCTTGCCCCTGAAGCTGTTTTCTGGGAAAACCACGTCCAAATGGTCGCGATCTGCAAAACATCCAGTTTTCAAGGATCTCAGGTCCCACTCAAGCACAGCCAGCACTGCCTCTCGTGTTTTGGCGCAGATGCGACTGGAAGGCAAGCCAATGAAGCAATGTCGCGACAAGAGGGATCCCTTTTCGTTCAGGGGCACAGACCAGCTCCAGAATGCCGCAGACTCATCATGATAATTTGGCACGGCGTCTTCGTGCCAGACCATGGGGTACGTCAGGTGCAGCGGGTGGTCCTTATGAGCAGAGAGGTACACCTCATCTGTTTCTCCTCAGTGTGTCGCCCACGGACTCAAGCATTTGTGTTATACGGGGGTTCAGGGGTCTGTGGCTAGATAGGTAGATTGGTCGATATGTTTTCTTTTAGAAAAAAATAAACTACTTTAAAGTTGCGGAGTTTCTGGCCCACCACTCTTCCAAGCTTCCCAGCCCCAGAAAAATTTCAGACTCCAGGCCTCGAGCGTGTATTTCATGGAAGACATCAGATGGCAGCACGAAGCAAACCTCCTCGTGAACCAAACTTCTGGTTTGATTCTGGCCGGGTCTCCCAGAGCTGAGCAGCGGCAGCTTACATCTGTATCCACGGAAAGGGAGTTGTATCCAGCGCCACATGTCTCTTTCTCTCGTGCTCCTTGAAAACTGTCGATTTGCGACACCACGTGCACCGTCACAGACAAAGGCTGCGGCAATCTTAGCGGAGTCGTGAATCGACATGGCACCAGACCCCACACGTTCTGCCAACACTTCCGCTCCACGGCCATCCATGTCGTCTGTCTTCCTGATCAGCTCTGTACAGGGGTGGCAAGTGCCAACGCCCTGAAAGAGATGTGGAAGTAATGCGGTTGAGACTCATTCGTCGATGTTGTTGCTTCCTGCAGCAACCATGCAAAATTTATGCTGAGCGTAGCTGTGGACAAAAGCATTATTGCAACTCCCCATAATTGATTGCATGTTCTGCTGGCAGCTGGCATGACCGCGGACTCCAAGTTCGGAGCTGCACTGCACGAGGTGGACGCACCGTACCTGCGACAGGATATATAATAGGACGAGATTGTGATCGATCGTGCGACGCGAGACCGAAGGCAACAACGCAGCTGTCAGATTTTTTGTTACAATAGCCGCTGAACTATAGCAAAAGTGTGCAGGATTCTGCAGGCATCGGAGCAGGATCTGTCTTGGCCATGACGACATGCGCAGCAACGCAATATTCATTGGTATCATTGCGGCTCCCTAGAAGGGGCCGGGTCAAATTCTATTTCCTGGATTGAGGGGGCCGGGGCCTCAGCCCTGGAGGCGAGGCCCCACACTAGAGTAACATGGACAAGATTGCATCCCTGCCACGTCTGCCAGACAGCACCCGTGACCCGCACGACACCTGCGCTGCCGGGAGAGGAGGCCTCATGCCCGGCAGAGACGAACCAAAACAAGCGAGGGTTTCACTGCTCCTTTGGAGCACCCTTGCGTTTCTTGTTGGATCCCTGCTTATTGGCCGGTTTCATGGTCGCTGCTTTTGTGAGGCTTTCAGCTGCTTGCTTCGGCCTTTCCATATCTTGCAGCAGCAGCACGTACTGCTTCCCGAAAGGGAGGTACTGCTCCTCCACCTCCACTTTGGCTCTCAACAATGCCTTCACATCGTTGTACAATTTCCTGGCATGTGACATGCGCCACGCACACATGTGGCAGAATCGAAAACAGTTCCCTACGAGAGAAAGTATAAGTGCGAGCGGGGCACTTGAAGTTGCTCTCGGCGTTGGCCAGATCTTTCAGCAAGTCCTTGCCGTAGGGATTCGCTTCCATCTCCGTCTTCAGCTTGGCAGCCAACGTAGACCCAGCCAGGGTTTTCTTCGCCAGGTCCTCGCCCTTGTCGAGCACAGTCATGTTTTCCAGCGTCTTCTTCTTCGGCTTCTTGGGTGCTGGCGGATCTCGGGTATCCTTCTCTCCCGATGGCACACCCTTCGGATCGGCCGTCGCAGGCGTTGATGGCACCGAAGGCGAAGGCGAGGGAGCCGAGGACGATGACGGCTGTCCAAGCCGTCGTTTCAGAGCACTCGGTTCGGGCCGCCTCCGTAGCACATGTGCAAAAAAAACATGTGGTGCACAAATGCATTGGACCTGCAACCCTCACTAAATCTGGGTAGGTGGCATAAGATCTTTCAGAGCAGGCAAATCATCTCGATGAACATTCGTGCGGGCGCCCACGATCTGGCCTGAGATAACATGAAATAAGCTATGGGATTCTCGAGGGAGACTGATTGACGTCACAAACACACAATTAAAGGCACATGTCCAGCATGGGATCAGTCAGGCCAAGGAACGATCGATGTCGGAACTCCCCCAGTTCCTTCGAGAGGACACGGGCAGCAGCAGCAGCACTTTTAAGATGCAGCAGACCTACAGAACATGCATGAACAAAACTCTCAGACGTCGCATGATGTCATGTGGTCCTCTCTGTCTTGGAAAGGTAGAAGATCTTGGAGCCTCGGAGGTTTGGATCTTCGGCCCAATCTCCACTGGCTTCCTTCTCTTTCATGACATCTTTCGCCCGCTCTCCGTATTTCTGGATCAGTTCCAGCTCCGTGTAGGGAGCTGAATTCGTCAGCTCCTGGCTGCTGACCTCCTTCACGACTTGCCGCTCGTAGCTGCTGCACAGCTCCTGCAAGTCGCCCCCATGCTCTATGAGCTCACTGATCAAGTCCGAAACGGAGTCGTCATCCTCTTTTGCAAGCTTCTCTCTCAGGGAAGCGGGCAGGGCTTCCTGCCTTTTCGGATTCTTCCTCAGGCGATTCAGAAGCATCGCGCTCTGGCGTCTGTTGCACGCAGGCTTTTGCACCGGCGGCTCTTCGGAAGCCGGCTTCCGATCCACAGTTTTTTTTGCTTCTTCCTCTTTCTTCTCATCCTTCTTCTCATCCTTCTTCTCTTCACACGAGGGCTCCTCGGTTTTCTCCTCCTTCACTTTGGTCCATCCCAACTGTTTCTTCACTTCGTCCTCGTCATCCACTCTGGACCTCAGGGCCTGTGACTGCTGACGCAGCCGGGCGAGCTCATCCATTTTTTTCTTGTCCTCCGCTTGCTTGTCGAGCTGCTCCCTGACTTTCGCCATCGCTTCTTGCACAGTTTCTGAATCCATCTTGGACTGTAGATTCAGTTTTCGCTGAATTTCCTCCTGACGTGCTTGCTTCTCCGCTTTCAGTTGATCCAGCTCCAGCAGAAGTCGCTCCCGTTCGTCTTCGTATCTCTTCTCCTGTCAGTTTCTAGCCTAATGGTTTACAAGGTTTATAGGGGTTAGGGGTTATAAGGGTTTGGGGAGGTTCATAAGGGTTTAGGTTTAGGGGTTAGGGCGAGTTTTGGGAAGATCGGATCAGAGCGCACGTGTTGGGTTTAAATAAGTTAGGGTTTAGGGTTTCTAGGGTTTAGGGTTGTGGACATTTAAGGTTTAGGATTGATCGGCCTGGTCTAGTGGAGTCTCTTTGGCCTTTTCATTTTCTTTCTTGAGCCTGGCTTCCTCCTCCTCCTCCTCTTTTTTCCTGATCTCTTCTTGGGCCTTTTCTTCTGCCTCCTTGCGCCTGGTTTCCTCCTCCTCTTTTTTCCTGGTCTCATCCTTGGTGTTTTCTGGGCCCTCCTTGCACTTGACTTCCTGATCCTTCTGGAGCATCACGAGCTGCCGTTCCAAGTCATCCATCTCCTTCCGGAGTCTTTGTCTGGTGTTTTCTGCTTCCTCCTTCCGCCTGGCTTCCTCCTCCTCCTCCTCTGTTTTCCTGATCTCTTCTTGGGCCTTTTCTGCTTCCTCCTTCCGCTTGGCTTCCTCCTCCTCCTCTTTTTTCCTGATCTCTTCTTGGGCCTTTTCTTCTGCCTCCTTGCGCCTGGTTTCCTCCTCCTCCTTTTTCCTGATCTCATCTTTGGCCTTTTTTTCTTCCTCCTTGCGCCTGGCTTCCTCCTCCTCTTTTTTCCTAATCTCTTCTTCGGCCTTTTCCTTTGCTTCCTTCTTAAGCCTGAGGTTTTCCTGATCTTGCTTCATGATCTCTTCCCAGCGCCTGTTGTCTTCCTCCTCCTTTTTCTGCATCTCCTCCATTCTCTTCGTTTCTTCTTCCTTGCGTCTCTTGCATTCCTCCTCATCCTCCTCAGCTTTATTCATCCTCATGGATTCTTCCTTCTTACGCAGATCCTCCAACTGTCGTTCCAAAGCAGCTCTGCGTTGCATGAACTCCTCATCCTTAATCTTCTGTTCGTCTGCGATCCGTTTCGCTTCCTGCTCCTTGGTCCTGCGGATTTCCTCTTTCATCTTTTCTTCTTCTTTTGCCTTCCGCTTTGCATCCTCCTCTTTCTGGCGGATCTCCTCCTTCAGCCTTTCTTCTTCCTTCCGCCTGGCATCCTCCTCCTCTTTCTTGCGTATCTCTTCATTCAGCTCCTCTGCCTTCCGCATGGCTTCCTCCTTCTGTCGGATCTCCTCGTTCAGCCTTTCTTCTTCTGTCGGATCTCCTCGTTCAGCCTTTCTTCTTCTGCCTTCATCTTGGCTTCCTCCTCCTCTTTCTGGCGGATCTTCTCCTTCAGCATTTCTTCTTCCTTCCGCCTGGCTTCCTCCTCCTCTTTCTTGCGGATCTCCTTCAGCTCCTCTGCCTTTCGCATGGCTTCCTCCTTCTGTCGAATCTCCTCTTTCAGTTTTTTTTCTTCTGCCTCCATGGCTTCCTGCTTCTTCCGGATCTCATCCCTCAGGCGGTTTTCTTCTTCCCTACGCCTGCTTTCCTCCATCCCCATGCGGATCTCCTCGTTGAGCTCATCGCTGAGCCTTTGTGTTTCTTCCTTCCGCCTGGCTTCCTCCTCCTCCTTCTTTCGGATCTCCTCATTCAGCCTTTGTTCTTCCGCCTTCGCTGTGGCTTTCTCATCTTGTTCCTAGCAATGATTCAGGGCGAAAGTATGCGGGCGTTGGCACTTGCCACCCCGCACGGACGTACACTAGTCCTAGCAATGATTCAGGGCGAAAGTATGTGGGCGTTGGCACTTAGCCACCCCGCACGGACGTACACTAGTCCTAGCAACGATTCAGGGCGAAAGTATGCGGGCGTTGGCACTTGCCACCCCGCACGGACGTACACTAGTCCTAGCAATGATTCAGGGCGAAAGTATGTGGGCGTTGGCACTTAGCCACCCCGCACGGACGTACACTAGTCCTAGCAACGATTCAGGGCGAAAGTATGCGGGCGTTGGCACTTAG